ATCTTCAATAGAGATCAGTTTTCAGCAGTCTGATTGAGAGGTTAAACGTGAGAATTAATCATGCAGTTGATTGACAATATTAGAGTGAGAAACGCTATAGATATTTGCAGCAGTACAGACGCTTTTGATTTGTTTAATTTTATATGCTTTGATAGCTAGAAGAAGTCTCCCTTCTTGATTTGAAGCTTGATTCTCCATGATTATTGAGAAATTCATATTTGAATATTGGTAATTTGCTGAGAGGGAAAAGTGGCCAACTCAGTGATCGCTTAAGTTAGTATCTTTCAGATTATGCCATCGGCTTCTCTGGATATTCCTAATCGGAGATGAGTGCCGGCTGGGAACAACTCCAACGGTTGATAAAAATGATAATTAAGAAACGAAGATTCCATTAAATTAACTGGCTAACGTTACAGAGCAGCATAAAGCGGTTGAAAATACGGCAAGCATTGTCAGGGAGGCGAGGGAGAAAAGGTACGTATTTTAAGAAAAGTATCCATCGCTGTCGGTTGCTAAAATATATACACGAGGCCAAATGCACATCGAGTAAAGATAGATACAAGCAGCAGGCAATGCCAAAAAGAAAGCATTGATTTAAATAGAATGAATGCAATGAAACGAGCTCTATAAAATTATAGCTAAACAAAACAACAAGGCCTTATTCTTTGAGGGTAATGTTAAGTACGAGAGTTAAAACATTGAGATCGAAGGCGCTCCAAAATGTAATAGAAAAGAAACGAAAAAGAATAAGTAAAGGAGCAAAAAGGGAAAAAAACTAAACAGAAGAATAATATACCAAAATGAAATAAAATAAGCACTTCACTACATAAAATATTGCTGGCTGTTTTCGCGTTGATGTATATACAAATTGACATTCTGCAGAAATGAAGAAAATGAGAAGGAAAAAGTCACTGAAGCACTTTGAGGGCTTTTCTCCCTTCTCTGAACCCAGATGATTTCATGCTACATAAATGTCAATGGGTATGCAAGAGACAATGTATAGATTGAATGCTGAGATTTAAGATGCATTTTGTGTGTGTGTGTGTGTGTGTGAGTGAGGAGATGAGGAGGCGGAGATATCATTAAATAAATTAGCCTTGACTGTGATCTAGCATGTAGACCACATATTACAATGTGAAGTTTTGAGAATAAAAATATGAACATGAAAGGACAGGAAATATAACAATGATATTGTATCCAGATGTCAATATGTCGAGTTCCTTTTCATTTTTGATGTCCCCAATAGCAAAAATGAGCAACCATGGCACAGAGGGGTGTCCTGGCTAGGTTCGTTCAGCACAATGTGTCGGCCGAGACATGCATCACAACCCTTCCCTTCCAAGCCCAGAATTAATCTGAGCAGCAATCTGGCTCGCCTTAAAACTTTCAAAAGCCTCCGGATCCCTCTCTCGCAGCGCAAGCAACTCCTCAATATTCGCCCCCAGCTCTTCTAACGCTTTATCAGGCCCAACGAGCTCGATGCGCGTCTGCATTTCGCTGCTCCGAAGCCGTTCGAGCTTTCCACGCAAGGCCGCAACCTTCGCTTCATCGGGAACTGAAGACAGGGTATCCGTCGTAGCTGCTCCGAGGTTGGTGTTGAGGATGTCACGGCGGATATGTTGTTGAAAGCGGTGGACTCTGCCTTCCTCTGAGGTGAGGGCTCTGGAATGCAGGGACGTGTTTGATCCCCTGCGGGACAGGCGGATGGCGTAGTGGTCTGTGTCCTCGTCGTCGACGGCAGTGTCTGCGTCTGCGTCTGCGTCTGGATCTGCGCTTTGGCTTGGTGCGGGAGCGTCCAGGATAGCGGAGTCGTCGAGTTTAGACTGCTCAACGGAGTCCGCTGTGGACGCGTGTGAAGAGTTCGATTGTGGAAGATTGGTTTTTGTGGGATCCAGTTCAGTTGAGAGGCGTGTATCTGGGTATTCATCTTCGAATCGTTGAATCATCCTCTGCAGAGTGAAGTCAAGGAATTGAAGCCGCCCTAACAGCAAGGAAAAAAATAACATGTTAGAAGTGATATTTGAATATAACTCTGATGCAGCATAAAAGTAAAAGAACCACATACGATAATTCATTTCATTACCAGCCCTGTCTTCCCTGACAAGGACCGGTTGTAATCGCACACGGATTTTCCTTGCGGAATTGAGGAGATTCCTCGACATGTCACGAGGCTTTTTAGCTCCAACGCTGCTGGAACGACGTAGCGGTGTTGACCTGCCAGTGGAAGTCGGAGAGGTATCACCCATGCCCTCCAAGGTATTGTGCTCAGCATTTCCAAGGCAAACGCCCAGAGCTTTCACTAGTCCAGTACCACCAATAACATAGTCCTCATCTGGAGCTGGCTTCACGGGATCATCCACCCCGTCATCATCTACGTTTCCAACGATATGTAGAAGAATATCAGGCATGGGGACAGTGTGTTTTTCAGGGGTTGCGCCATCAGAGAGCTCTTCCACAAGCTCACCTCGCTCGAGGTTCCGAAGCGAATAGGCAACGATTTGGGATGCTAGGGCCTTGACAACTTCCTTGTTTTCCGCCGTAGGCACGTCAATGTCTATTGCGATAAGGGTATGTGAAATGCGGACCGCTGTCATCAAAGAAGCATATAATGCGCAAGCCTCTTCTTGAGCAGTGGCGTCTTTTGCCGCAGCTAGAGCAACAATTTTCGGGTTTTCCAAAATATTGATATGACACAGACGACGGCAATCCGGTAATATTTCTGCAAGGGCTATGGCATGCTCTGGGGAGAGGCTGACATCCGCCAAGTGTACTCGCTTCAACTCTGCCATTTGGGGGAGATATCGTCGCAACATTGCCAGCGAGTCAGGCGGGGTTGCAAAAAGTCCACGGTTATGTGAAGGTCAGAAATCGGAAATTCGGCAGAAATGTAAGCGCTTGGAGAAGGGAGCAGAGAGGTTTGGCATTAGTGAACAATTCGGCCAGGCTAAGGGCACCTGAAGGGGGATGGCCCTTCGCCTTCCGGGAAGTCGCTGACAAGAGTTCCAAATGTTCAAGCAAGGTCATTCCTTCCAAGTCCAAACCCTCTCAATGGACGGCCGGACAATATTCCATATTTCAAATTAACATGTTCCAAGCTGTCAATTGGTTGTGTGCAACCCCCAAATTCGTTCGCAGTTGAACAGCCCGGCAAGCTGCGCAAATTTTCGCAAAGTCTTCAGCAGATGGATAACACTCGCTAATAACCAGCTCCTCCAAGTGGTTCCCTGCGAGCCTCTCGGCCAATGCATTTGCGAAAACAGTAGATATTTCCGTATTTGGCTTACTCCGGTTCGTAGATGAAGGGCTTGGCCCAATCGTCGGGATTGAAGCTTGCGGAAAAGGGATTCCTGAGAGGTCTATCCCGATCAAGGATCGTGACATGTGGATAAAAAGAGCAATATATCTCCATCCATCGTGACCGATCTTTGGATTATCCTTGAGTGACAGCTTCTCAATTACCCCCAGTTTATCATCGTGAGTAGATTTGCCGCCGTTACGCTTTTTGAAATGGCTTCTTCTTAGCCTTGCTTTCTCGACAGTCCTTGTAGACAGAAGCCCAGCAAGAATCACTCGCACAGATTCATCAGTGAGGCCACAATTTTGTAATATCAACTTCCGGACCGGAACAATAGCAAGCCAATCACTGAAGGTAACAAGGTCAGCAAAGGACATGCAAACTCCGCTGAGATCTAGCACAGCAATAGTCCCAGGAGACTCTGCAAGACCCGAAGAGGGAGACGAGATCTGCTCCACAAGCTTTTTCAAAACCCCGGTTTCCCGTAGTTGACAACAACGGCGGTATATTCGGATAGGGTCAGTAGTGGGATGTTCCTGACCCTTCGTGGGGCGGAGGGGAACTGAGGCGCCTGATTCACCGTCCCGCGTAAGTTGAATAGGAATGGTCCCGTTGGCTTCGGCCTGTCTTCTTTTCTTCTCCTTGCGCTCCTTCCGTTCGCCTTCAGACCTCTTCTTCTTCTCCTGCTTTCTCGTCGGTTCTTTGCCAGAAGCTGGTTTTTCCTTTTCTTTATTCAGTTCTGCAGGTTTCGTTTCACTGCTAGTAGGATCTGTACTTTGTGCCGCCTCGGTTGGTCGTTCATTAGCACCTGGTTGCGATGACTGGCCAGTTGAGCCCTCTCCCTTCTCAGCAAGTTTGGAATCTTGTCTTTTAAAAACTCTGATTTGGTCAACCATTGTTGATTTCTTTTTTGCCGGCGGCTGTGGATGTGCCTGCTGTGGTGGGGGTTGGGGAGGCTGCTGGTGTGTCTCCTCCTCTTCAGATTCCGACCTGCGGGAGGTCCCTGCAATTTCCACATCGACACAAAAGGCAACACGGCGGAGCTTGGCCTGATCCAGCTCCGCAATCTTACATCTATCGCGATGCTGGTCAATATTCATAACCCTTCGTTCAATAATTACCCCCTGCGATGCCATCTTTCCTAGCACAACACCTGTAGACGAAGAGGAAGATAGTTTCCGGAATGCATTATGGAAAAACGAAGGTTGACTCTTTGGAGAGCGTAACTCAAAGGGGCTCGTCAATTCATCCTTCTTGTCACTCTTGTCCTTGGGAGAGAACGATGCACCAAAAGGGTTGTGCAGCTCTTGGCGTGGGCTTTGAGCGGGCTGCTTCGCATTTGCATCTTTCACGTTACTTTGCGCCGGGGTAGTTGAGCCGCTCGAAGAAAATTTCTGGCTAAGGCTGGATATCCAAGAATTGCGACGAGCTGGCGGGCCTCTCGTGCTTAAGGGTTTACCTGTACTTCCACTTGTTTGTAAGGACGGTAAAGGAGGCAAAGGCGTAGATTCATTGATCTCCGTTACAGTGCCTCCTTTTTTTTGTTTTGATGGTACCGGTCGAGGGCTCATCGCGGGGGACGGTAGTGTCTGGGATAGGGATAAAGGAGAGCTGTCATTGGTTGGATTGTATTTTTTTGTTTGAAGTGAACTTGCGACGGTGGTTGGGTCTGGCAACATCGGATCGGGGCTATTTCTTGGAACTGACGGATCTGATTTTGATCGAACAAGATTGTTTGATAAGCGACGGAGTTAGTATCTTAATATTCCACGGGATGTAGGAATGCGAAAGAAAATAATTACGAAATGGTGGCAAAATAGGAAACAGAGTAGCTTGTGAAGAGCTTCTTGAATAGTAATATTTCTAGAAGAAAGGTATATATACCTTTGTGAGAATGATGCAGCCAGCTCACATCGACTGAATCAACGTTCTCCATCTCACATACGGAGTATGATCTCACATAGGACACAGCACTTCCCAAAATTCAACGAAATCAGGTCCTCCTAAAATAATAATAGCGGTTGTGAGGAGAAACACAAGAAGCAGGGTTTAGATATATCGCGACGGAGTAAGTGATACAAGAATAACCGGAGCGGTAGAGCTTTAGGCGAGAATCCGGATAATGCTCACACGGCAACGAGGTGGGGCAAACGCTGGGTGCGACACGCAGCGGACGAACGGCTGACTGTCTGGAAGCGGCAGTAGCCACGTCTGCGCCAGCAATCTGCACGACGACAGAGTTGATGAGGGTGCGGATATTTCCTGCGAGAAGAAGCCCTGGCCGGGGGTTGGGGTTATAAGGGGTATATGGCGGTAGGCGGAGCGTGGAGCGTGGAGCGTGGAGCGGAGAGCGGAGGAGGATTAGGGCGTTTTAGGGCCACCAACTATTGAACTTATTTAAGGACCGGTTGGAAAACGGATTCCATCATCGAGGAGAGGGCGAGGTGGATGGGCTTAGTCAGGGACAGACGACATAACTAAGTAACTAATGGGACGCGTGTCTTGAGAGTGTTATAGTGTGCTGATTAAAGGCGGTCTGTTCGAGAATGGGTGATGAGATAACTAACGAATACATGTTAGATGTGATGGGTGGGTGGGTGGTTGCGTGGGCGAGAGAGAAAGGCCGGAGCTGACTTACGGCTAACAAAATTTAGATACATAACTAATAGTTAGCTGCGGTTCTTTGTCTGGCGGATATCCACTTGTTAATGTGAAGAATAAGAATAATTAGAGCAACTTGTCATATCTCAATTATTTAATCACGTCTCATCGCACCTGTGGACAGGATATTATTACATTTCATCTAGTCAAATTAATTATTAGTTACCTAACCTACGTGAATTCTCCCGCCGGGATGTTACTATTTCTTTCCTTCTAATTAGTATCAGAGGCAAGTTGAACAGCAGACAAATACATCTCTCACCAAAGCAAAAGTAAACGGTAGAACAGTTCCAGGCAATTGCCATTGTTCGGGTCATCGACGGAATTGTACGGGGACGAAAAGATATTCTAAACATTTCGTATCTCCTCTCTCTGGCTAGGCGTGCCCCGTTAGATCGCGCCTAATTATTATTAGCCTTTTGAACTCTGCGGGGCTGGCAAGCTGTCTCCAGTTCGCAGAAACAAAATCCCCAACTTTCGGTTACAGTGTGGGGTTTACTTGGAGCCTTCATTGGGTTAAACTACCTAGGCTGTCTACTCTGAGTGTGGTTGCTCCAGATTATTTATATCAACCCATCATTCCGTGTGGTGTGAGTTCGCCCACTTTAGGATTGATAGAGCAAGGATGATATGGATCGGTCAAATTTCCGATTATTCATAGTATTTACCGACTCTCCGTATATCTCGACGAAGAGACTCTATTCCTGGATGATGTTGTGCGGAAGAGATCTGCCGATCGAGATATATATGTGGGATCGAGGTACGGGGGAACGTCGTGAATTGAAGTGGTACGAACCATAGGGACCCTTGAGAACATGCATGTACTCCGTGCTGTGCCTACAGTAATAGGTATGAGCGATGCCCTTCACATGCCTCAATGGAAAGTATTGCTGTCCTGGAATAACATGCCTCTTTCAGAATTGACAGATAATTTTTGAAAGCAATGGCTGGGCCCCTGGAACTCTGCAGCGCTCACTTGAAGTGACATCAAAACAGAGAAATAATGACAGGACAGGATGCTGGGAGTTTACATTTGCGCTGAAGATCAACGGGCAAAATACCCTGAGAAGTAAATACCCGATTTGTAAGAGACTCGACAGGCCTCCGAAGATAACAGCTCGGGAGGTCTTAGCAGTGTCTGACAAATTATTAGTAATGATCATGGATAGAGGTCCAACTCCTCTTCCCAACCTCTCCTTGTAACTGTATGCACGGAATACCCGGGCGGATCAAGTAGGGACTTTGGAATCATGTAACTAGATATAAAGACCTTAAAATTTTATGCTGCTTGAACCCCGAAGATAAAAAGGAAAAATAGTATAGAATATCTAAGGAAGAGGGTGAATGAGCATCAGAGCTATAGACCCTTTGGTTGAGGATGGACTTGGTTCTCTATTTGAAACTTAAAAGGCCAGGAAAATTTTTATTGTTTGGCATCGGTTTCTTTTCGAAGAGGGAGAAAATCATTGATATCATTTGTAGTTAGAAACTCCATGGCCAGTTTTAAAAAAAAGAAAGCAATATAAGAAAAAGAAATCCAGCCTGTTAGCTCCAAATATCCATCCGTTTCCTTTGGGGACAAGAAAAGGTTAAAAGCACAATAATGTGCCTTTTTGAGTATCGAGAACCCGCATTCAATTAACAAATTCATATCATTTTGCTTTTTGCATTAGGCTTCATCGTACTGAAATAGTAGAATTAGATAAAGAACCGTGCCGTTTTCCGATTTTGCACATAGGAAAGCAAGTATAGAACGAGAGCGGAAAACTCGACAAGGCTGTAAAAGGAGAAAGATCGTCAATCATATCCCATTTATGCCAACTCGCGAATCTTCTCCTGGACACGGGCGTCCTTCTCAGCACGAGAAAGTTTCTTGTTACGATACTTCAAGCTCTCAGCCTTCCACTCCTCCTTAGTCTTCTTGGACCCAGCATCCTCATCCTTCTTGAACGGATCGGCACGGATAGCCTTGTGCGCCTCAGCGTAAATCTCCTCGAGATCACCAGCGTCAATCTCGTCATCAATATACTTCTGGAACTGGGACTTGTAGCGCTCCTCGTCGTCATCGGCGAGCGTCTCCATGTACTCCGCAACGTGGCCTCCGAAAATGTATCGGCGGAGTGTCTCCGCGTCCAGCTCCTTAGACTCAATGTCGTAGCCTGGGAAGCGGTTCTCGGAATGTGGGATCAGAATGCCACCGTCAGAGGCTCCCTTCATGGCCGCAAAGACGCGGGCGCCGGTCGAGGTGCGTGCAAGACCAACATCAAGAACAGCCTTGAAGGGACGGCGGGTGCCCTCGTCAGTCTCAGCAGCCTCAGTGAGGCTGTACTGGCCCTCTGGCTCCTCGACACCAACAAAGTCCTCATCCAGACCGAGTTTTTTGAGGGTGCGGCGGGCGAGGAGAAGGCCGGTGGCGTAGGCAGCGGCCCAGTTGGTTAGGCCGTGGGTGATGCCATAGCGCTTGAGCTCGTGGGCGTAGGCGCAGGAGAAGACTTTGTCACCGGTAATTTCTGCAGTGACGATCTGGGTGATGATGTCGCGGTTGGTGAAACGTACGACCAGGCGGTATTTGGGGGCGTTGTACTTGTTCTTGGCCTGGGTGATCAGACGCTTGCGGGCATAGTAGTCGGTCTTTCCCTGCCGGCGGCGCTTGAACTTGGTTTGGAAACGGCTGTGTGGGTGTTCTTGGTCAGCATAAATTGCTTTTATCCCCCAAGGAAACAAAATTGAGCGTGTAATAAATGAGAGATCTCACCTGTAGTAAGCGCTATTCTTGACGAGCTTGGTGAAAGGCTACAATAAAAAATAAGAAAGAAACCCGGAGTCAGCAATTTGCGCTTCAGAATAATTTTTTTCTTCCACCGAAGCATCTTGCAAAGACTCGCTCTCAATCACTTTTCTCTGAAGGAATTGCGAGGATTGAGCACTGGCAATGAAACGCCAGCTCTGGCAAAGAGGAACTTACCATCTTGCCGGTGGGTTGAGTGCGTCGAGTTGCAGCTGAACCTGGACGTTGGACGAGTTGGACAGGACGAGGAAGAGAAGAAAAGATCGTTCGTCGTTTGTGGGGAGTTTCGATAGTTTGTTGTGTGTTCGCTTAGCGCCAACGTTCCCAAAGCTGCAGGCGGTCGGGGGGTTGGCGACGAGCTTTATTCTAACTACTCTCTGTGCGGAACACAATAGAGAAATCAGTCCTTGGAACAGAAAACGGAAAATGTATAAAGAATTTATACAAAATTAACTGACATGATGTGTGAAGCAAATACGTCTCTAACTAATTGATTTTGATTCCTTTCTTGTTAATTCAATGGAAAAATTGCTTTTTGGTACGAATTTCTGATGGTATCATACCTAATCTATTCTTCGAGTACTGCTCCGTTCTGCCCTTGGATAGTAGCATATATAATCTAACTAAGATAAAAAATTGAAAGAAATTGCGTTGAATAAATCTATAATTTCGCTCTCCCATCGCCCTCCAAAAGTTGCAGCCCAGTCACAACCTCCAACTCCCTCACAGCATCCTTCGTCTTGCCCAGATCGACCTTAATCGTGCGGAACCCAGCCTTCTTGGCCCATTTCAGATTAATCCCAATATCATCCAAAAACACAATATCATCCGGCAGAATGGATGATAGGCCTTTCTTCTTCGCGGCATCATTCATCTCCTTCAACGCCAGCGCATAGATTTTGGGATCCGGCTTCCGAAGTCCCACATGCGCGCTGGAGATGAAGAAATCAAAGTACTGCTGTACATTTACTGGAGGGGGAAGAGGATTGTCTGTGGGGAGAATGGTCGTATTTGACAATGCGCCCAGGACGAATTGGCCTGACGCTTGTAACTTCTGCAAAGCGGGAAACATGTATGGATCTGGACTCCGGGCAACTCGCATCATCTCCCAAAACAGGTATTCTGCGTCGATCTTCGGGAGGAGTGGAAGAGGTGAGAGTGTGGGTATCCCTTGCTTCTGGCTCTCTTGTGCGTGGAACACTTCCCATAGATGTTTGTGCTGGAAGTCAGCGCTGAACTCTGAGAAGAGGTCCGCGTCTATTTTCACCTCCCCGCGCTCGATTTTGTGCCAGGCACCGTTTGGAGAGGTGTGTTGGATGCTGTAGTTTATCCAGCCGATCGGGATTTTGTTTGCGATCTCGTAATCAAGGATTGCTTGGAAGGGAGAGACAACCTATCCAATAAAAAGGATTTGGTGTTAGTAGATTGTAGAACATCGCGAGCGGGTGAGGGGATGCCTTACACAGACGCCGCCAACATCGAATAAAAGTCCCTTAGGGCGTTTGTTACCCGCCATTTGGAGATATGAAGTTGGACTATAACGGATGCTGTGGCTTTAAGTATGAATCAATCCTTACTAGGAAGCATTTATATAAATTTTAAGACGCCATAGAATCCGTCAGCGTTGTATTTATGCGAGGAATTGCCGTCTGGAAGTCATTCGGATTTTGCCGAGGTTAAAGATCGCGAAGGGAGGAACCTCATAAGACGTAATTCTGTTAGGTCCTCAGCGTGGGAATTCATACAGCTTTGATCGCATAAGTCAGGAAACATCCAGAATGGTCTCGTTATCATTCCAGGGTCCTTAGGGTACAAACTTGCAAGGTATTTGTTTGATGGAATAGAATCAACTCGGCAGTTCTATAGGTGAATTAATTAACTATCTTGGAGATCTTATCAGATTTGATCCAAATTATCACGTGGTTATAACAGCCTCCAGACAAGTTGGAGGTGCATCAGTTCAGAGTCCTGGGATAGTTATTTTATCATCAGAATACAATATTAGAAAATTTTACAAATGTCTTTTTAAAATTACCATTGCGTAAGGATGGACCTCTTGAAAACCATCACCGAGATAAAGTCTTCCTTCATCAGGAGTCAAGTTCGCATCCTATCCGAAGCTCTAACTCCATCTGAAGAGTGGCGCGACTACGGCCCTGCTTTCGAAGATGATATCCCCGATAAAACGGTAGAGGATGTACTGCAAAAATGTATGAGGTCACTCCTTTTGAACAATCGTGCCATCTCTTAGCCCATATCCTCCAATTACTGAAGCTATGACTAATTGTGTAATATTAGTAAATGCTGTTTTGAAGAAACACAATCGCGCGGTCTTTTCATCACAGGCAATCCACCACGTTGCCCGGCAGATTGAAAGTCTCTATTGGAACTCAATTGACCCGGAGACGGGGGTTGGGCCATTGCAAGGCCTTGTCGTAGAGAAAGGCACTGACTTGACGAATTCGAAGTACGAAACTCCCTGGAGGATGTTTGAGGAAAGATCCTCTGTAGTTATTGTCAGACTAACCCACAACAATTAAAAAGGAGCATTGCTCGACTCCCCGAGAATTGGAGAGAAGATGGTGATGAGGACATTGGCCAGGATGATAAACTTAGGTTTGATTGAATCTAATATCTATATCCTATTTATCCTGATTCTAACTCTACTGCAGATACGAACATTTGCACCAGCGTCTAATAGAGCTTGACAATCAACGCAAACAGCAGCAGGACCGCCTTGCGCAGTATAAGAAGCTAAGGGAGTTGCTGGAGCCGTTCAAAGATCCTCAAGTAAACATCCAGCCAAACCTTGTTACCAGAGACAGCCTCTTGGACCAGGAGATTGACAGAATGAGGATGCTTGTCGCAAAGGTTACAAGCCGCGTTGGCAAGGCCGGTCTGCATGTCGAGCAGGAAGAGATATCCCAGTCGATGCTCGATCCCGGTACGAAACTTTCAGCGGTGTTGGATATGACTTGAAGCTGGTTGGACGGGTGGTTTTTATAGTTTTCGAGTTGGCAGCTTCGAAATTCGCTCCCACCGATTTCCAGGACTGCATGCTCTTGGCGCGCGGAAGCATTTCAAGTCAAGATAGATGAGAGCTTTCTTTACATTCCGGACTTGTTGAATGGGATGGAAATATTTGGTATTGACTGAACTCAATTTGTGCAAGGAAACCTCCATGGGAAAGACGAAAAAGGCTGTTGCTAGGATTATGCCTTAATATGTTAAGGTTTCATGGAAGTTGTCTGCTTACAACAAGGTTCAAGTGTGCTGCTGGGGCTAACTTACTTTAGTTGCCCCACATCTTTCTGCAGAATGTTTTGCGTTGAGAAGCAGTTAAACATGACATTTGGAGTTTGGGATGTTTTGGGCGGGGAGATGAGCTGGGTCCTGGAGGAGATATGTGAATGCTGGACGGCCGGGTACTTTATGAAAGGATATCTTTTACTGTTGAACTATGAGTTATTGGCTTAATTCAGTTGGGCAGGAGGTTGGGTGGTATTATTCTATGCTGAAAAAAGCCACACTCTGTTGCTCTGCCAATGGATAGGCTGTAGTTAGTTTGTGTTAGTATTTGTAGAGTAAAGATATTTTACTTCTCATAAAAAGCTTCCTGATGACGTTCATGATGTGTAAATCTTTCTCCATAAACATGCACAAGTAACAACTTCTCTTTTAACATTTTGTGATATATCAACTCATCTTCTCATGTCTGCGCACCTCTTAATCCTCTTCTGCCCCTTGATTAAACTGGCTCAAGCTCCCAGCCACAGTACAAAACGCCGAGATTCCAATGCCAGCTAGACAGATCGGTTAGTAAGCATCCCTGGTTATGAGTCCCTTTCCCAACGCGAAGGATAACCGACTCAGTAAAATATGCTCTACGCGACATTCTAAAAAGAAACCGAAGACAAAGAAGTCAGCACAGAGTGTGCTGTGGAAATTTCCAATACGTCTATTGCAACACACCACTCCGTCACTCGACACCGTCGAGCCAGGCATCTAGTGTCGCGGCAGGACGTGGTCCGGTTTCGCGTTGAAGTGCTGGGTATTCCACCGCCAAGTGGAACTGGGGTAGCGGACAAAGCGCCCGCCGAGGACGACGAGCTAACGGAGCTTAACGTTGCATTTTCCAACGCCAGAATGTCCTTGGCTGGCAACACTTCCGGTGTCAGCAACTCAGGACCATCTCCCCCAACCCCTTCCGCCAACGCCAATTCTGCTGCTGGCGCTGGCCTCTTCACCAATTTCTACGATAACAACAGTAACAGCAACAACAATAACGGCAACAACTTCAATCAGCCTGGGTCTGCCATGGCCGGCATGTCCCGCCAGAGCCCGAGCCCCGTTCCCGGCACCCCTTCCATTCAAAATGGAGGGATGGGGCCGATGAACGTTGGGATGCCAGTCAATGCTGGGCACCAGATGGATCTCAATCATCTTTATGAGATGGTCCTCGAGCTCAGTGATGTGTTGAAGAGCAATCGTGATATGACAAAAGGAATTATCAACAGCACAGAAGAAATTATGGTTTGTTGTTCCCACTTTTTCCGTCCAATGCCGACCGTCTTCTTCAGCAACATGTTATCCAAACAAAGAGATCAATGGTTTTACTAAATTTTTATTTCTTTCATTACAGAGGCGCGCTGCTACTGAGGGTAATAATCTGACGTTCCAGCAAGTCAATGGAGAAGTCACTGGTAAGGTCCTCGACAATTGGTCTATTAATCCATCTAACTCTCTCACTCATAGCTGCCCGAATCGCGGAACTCGAGCGTGCCCTTGCCCGCGAAAAATCCCTCGTCGAAATCCTCAAGCGTGAACAGGTCGAAAACACCAAGCTTATCGGGGAATATGAAACAGCCGTCGGCACCATGGTGGAACAGATACGTCACTACTGCCAGAACAATAACATGCACTACCTCGCCCAAAAACGCCACTACAACAATCTCCTCCAGGCCGAGCGTGATGCGCACCTTGAAAGCCGCCTCGACCGGGACAATTGGCACGCCAAGGCAATGAGGTGCGCGGAAATGATTCGTACTGCATACCGTCTCCGCTGCGAGGAGGAAGAGGTCCCCATCCGTGTCATCTCTGGTTTGCAGAATGAGGTTCGTGCCTACCGCAATGCTTTGGGCATGGAGCCTGAGAAGCCTGACGAGGAGTACGGTTGGGAAATTCTTAAGGATCTTCCCCCGGGTGTTGATTGATTTCACATATGCCCTTTGTTACCTTTCGACCCTGGTAATATTAGATTTCAACTTTACTTTACGAGTGCGATGACAACGGGGACATATCATGTGGGCTGGTGTATGGCGTTTAGGTACAGATGTTTGGAGCTGCGGACTTGATTTGTTGTTTTCTCCATCTCTCTTATGTCTGCCATGATGTACATTTTCTCTGTGATATACCCATGGAAGCGGGTTAGGAAAACTCCTAGGGAGATTCATTTGACTGCACATATGCGTTGGTTTTCCTGATGATGCAACTGGACCGCTGGTTTTCATGTATCAATTGTTTGTCCTCTTCAATTCATCTTCTCTTCATGCTGTCCATATTCGACAGTTCTTTCCACGTTTGTTTTTTGTGTTGCCTTAGAAAGAAAATGTGTCGTCTTTTGTCTCTTGTCTCACATTTCTCGTTTAAGGAATGCAATAGTTAGTACTACATCTCAGATATGTCAACCTCCAGTTGACAGTCCGTAACCGGTGGCTGTATGAAAGTTTGTTTTAATATTCGACAGGGCATCTCAGTAATGCTCTGCGTGTCAATTTTGTCAAACCGGTGCCACATCTATGACAAGATAGGTTCCCGACGCTAAATATGCTTCTTCCTGCATGCTGTCCCATTCTTGTCGATATTATTTTAACTTGTTTGGTTTCCAAGTACTTCAAATCCTCATTTTTATGGGATTCAGAGTCGCATAAAAACTCTCTATATCCTCCAGGACGAGATTCGAACAAACATGAATTCAATCTTCTCCATTGCTTTCCATTGAGGAGGAATCATCTGCGTGCGAAATAGCGAAGGAACCATTCTGTCAGCGCCTCAAACGATAACTCCAAGCCAGCCAGCTAAGCTTCGTATCCCTCTCCTTGGTAGGAGTTTAATAAACACAATCTTTGTTGGAAACATCTCATGGTCAAGGCTTGATGAACTCCGGTCGTCAAACATTATCATCAGTATTTTTCTCATTCGGCTTGAGGCTAAAAATAACCCGCATAGGATCCCAGATCAACAGGGTTGCTGACAGCTTTTTTCTACCTGTGCTAACCACACCACAAAGGTTCCTCAGTGGAGGATATCATCACTATTAATAAACCCAACTGTGATTCTCATTCGGGCTGACTGGTTCATCCAATTGCCCAGGGGACTGTTGGGACTAGCGCAGCCTCGTGGCAGGCTCATGGCCTGGTCGATTTGATCGTTTCGCGGTTGCAGGAGATACTTTTGAATATCTCCCGCGACTCTCCCAGTAATATGTCATTTGTATAAGTTGCGTTCTTTTGAATG